TTGGGTCAGAGCTCCTCCAGCGACAACCCCCGGACAGCTCAGCTTGCAGGCGTTGAAATTTACGATTTTGAAAACCCCGGGACTGCGACATGGATCCAAACGAGGGTGAATCCGGTAGGGCTGGTCCTGGGCGGTAGCACCGGGGGCACATCCGGAAGTGCTGCCCCACGGGAGGCGGAGGGTTTGCAATCACGTCGCCAGGCGGGGGATACAGGGGCAAGGCAGGTCTGGCTCCTTGCTGCAGGATCTTGGGACCGCGTGGGCCGAGGCTGCAGACATGGAGTTGTCGTGCGCTGGTGCATGGTGCGGACGTGCGTCGGCGCAAGTGTGGCCCACACACCCGCTGTGGGTCACTGGCCCATGGAGCGGCACCTAGACCAGTTCCAGCGAGAGAGACGAATGAGGGAGCTCTACAGCCTTGGCTGGGAGCCAGCCGGCTCTATCGCTCAAGCTGTAGCAGTTCCTCCCCAGAGGTCCCCGGTTCAGATCTGCCCAGTGGTGATTACACAGGGAGTGGACATGCGCTGGTGCAAGGAGCAGCCCTGTGCAGGCACAAGGAGAGGTCGTGCGCGGGTGTGTGGCGCCATTGTGTGTTGGTGCAAGGAGCTGTTGCACCATCACACCTGTCGTGCTAGAAAAAGTCGGAGCTGCATTGCTGCTGCTCTCGCTCCGTGTTGCTGTCTCGTGCAGCGGATGCGCTTGGGGAGCAGGGCCCCAGCCGATCCAGCCTGGCTAGGCTGTCCTGCTAATTGCTGATGGAGTTCCCGCAGTGCCAAACCGTTACGGGGCAGGGTTGCTGACCGACTCCTCTCCCCTCGCTTGCAGGAGATACTTCCCGTGGAACCTGATCCTCCTGAGTATTTTCGTAAGTACCGTCCCGGGACGGAGGCTGGGCTGCCCTTGGGAATCTCGTCAGTTTCACACAGTGCAGGCCAGAAGGGATGAGGAGGGTCACCCATAGAGCCATGCCCCGTAATTGCTGCCGGACGCCCAGTCCCTGCGGGGCGAGCTAACGCTACAGCAGGCTCAGAGGGGCGGCCGTGTGGGTCGGTATCTGCCAAAACACCAAGGAGCCCTGTGGCACCCTGGAGACGAACCGATTTGAGAGGCAGGGCCCAGAGTGACCTGGACAAACTGGAAGGCTGGGTCAAAAGAGGTTCTGTACGGAGAAGTGCAGAGTCCGGCCCGTGGGACGGAAGAATCCCAACCATTGTGACAGGCTGGGGACCGACGGGCTAAGCAGCCGTTCAACAGAAAAGGACCTGGGGCTACAGTGGATGTGAAGCTGGATACAAGTCAGCAGGGCGCCCTTGTAGCCAAGAAGGCTAACGGCATATTGGGGGGCATTAGGAGGAGCCTGGCCAGCAGATCCAGAGAAGTGATTATTCCCCTTCATTCGGCTCTGGAGAGGCCACATCTGGAGTATTGTGTCCAGTTCTGGGCCCCCCTTACTGAAAGGATGTGGGTGCACTGGAGTGGGGCCAGCAGAGGCAACCAAACTGATTCGGGGGCTGGAGCACATGACCCACAAGGAGAGGTTGGGCGATTTGGGTTTGTTTAGTCTGCAGAAGAGAAGAGAAGAGAAGAGGGAGGGGGGATTTGAGAGCAGCCTGAAGGGGGGTTCCAGAGAGGATGGAGAGAGGCTGTGGCTTATTTAGTCTGCAAAAGAAAAGAGTGAGGGGGGATTTGATAGCAGCCTTCAACTCCCTTAAGGGAGGTTCCAAAGAGGCTGAAGAGATGGTCTCAAGTTGCAGTGGGGGAGGTCTAGGTTGGAGATTAGGAAAAACTGTTTCCTTAGGGAGGTGGTGAAGCGCTGGGCTGGGTTTCCTAGGGAAGCGGTGGAATCTCCATCCCTACAGGTTTTAAGTCCCAGCTTGACCAAGCCCTGACTGGGTTGATTGAGTTGAGTTGGTCCTGCTTTGGGCAGGGGACTGGACTCGATGACTCCTGAGGTCTCTGCCCGCCCTGGGGTTCTAGGATTCTATGAATTCCCAAATCACACTGACATGCAGCTTCGTTGGCCTGCGGGGACGATGCCAGCCGAGAACACTGATGCTTGGATTGACAGCAATACAGCAGAGCCACGAAGATACACGCCGAGCAAAGGGCGTGACAAATACTAATTTCTGCAGGCCAGGGTACGGGTTAAGTAGAACCATGAGAACAACAGATGTTAGATCTTCCAATAGCAACATGTAGATTTTAAAAAAACAAACACCTGCCTACACAAGACACTCCAGGAACTACCCAGGATGAGAGGATAAACCGCACGTGACCAGCTATAAGGGCATTGCGATGCTACAGTGATGTGTATGGTATAAAAACCTGTCAAGCAGACGGGAAGATTTACCCAGCTGGATTCGACTCCTGAGGTCTTTGCTCGCTCTGGGATTCTGTGAAAACTAGATAAGTTGGAGACCAAGGAGGAGGAGGCAGGCCCAGTGGGGCAGAGGGGTTGTAGACTTACTGATTGGGAGGTGCCCTATGTAACCCTGCATGGGGGCTTTACCCTTCGACGGTCAGTATCGACTGTCCAGACACGATCTTCCTAGGGCGCCTCAGAGAGAGGCTTTGCTTCCTGCAGGATTACACTGGGGGGCACGGCTGAAAGACGTCTACCAGCAACGGTGCCCGGCTCTGGATGGATCCGAGACTCTGTCCTGACCTCCAGTCTGTGGGTCAGAATAGCCTCTCTGCCCCCAGGGACTCCGCCGTCGGCGCCCACTCGGGAATATTTAAAAACCGGGCCAGGGTGTCGGAAATTCCCCCGCCCTGCCTCATCCCCGCCAAGGTCCCACCTTTTCCCCCGAGTCTCTGCCCCGCCTCCTTCCCCTACGCCCCTCCC